TTCTGCTCACTGATCCACCAGGAGTGTTTTGAAAACATTGCATGAAACAGGCTGAAGACACTCTAGTTACTACACGCGGAAGCCACAAGTTCCCAGTCAGAACGGGCTGTCACACTGTAAACTTCACAGGACAGATCCTATATTTAACTTATGACACAGGTCAAGATGAGGAAAGGATGGGAGTGCACAACCCATTTATTCTTCAAGACCACTCATTACCATTGAGTCTTCCATGTGGAATGGACAGGGGTTTTTTCTCTCAATAAAGGTCTCACTGATAGTACATCCTTCAGTAGGCCCCAATTGTGGGCTCTCACAGGGGAAGAGAAAAAAAATCTCTTTAAGTAGAAAGGAGGATAGGAATAAGTGAGTAATGAGAGACTCATTCCTTAGCCACATACAACCAGAGATTCTGTGGATATCCTAATCCCAGAGTTATTCCCATTAAGTCTTTTGAGGGTAGAACTGATACATGGGACCATGAATGACTTCAAGCAAGGACCTGGTGATGCGTAGCCTCTCAGTCACTCTCAGAGCAAGTAGATGGGTGTGACTTGGGGCTATGATGACCTCCACAGCAGATATGACTCCAGTTGAGCCTGAATTAGAAAAGGCACAATTAGTACGTCTTTCCTGAACTCTCGCTGGGCTTCACTTTAAAAACAACAAAAGGCCTGTGTGAGTAAGTTTTGTGTTATTGTAACAAAATACCTAAGATAATCAACTTAAAAAGATGAAAGGTTTCTTATGGCTCACAGTTTTGGAGGTTTCAGTCCATGGTCATATGGCCCCATTGCTTTTGGGCCTATAGTGAGACAGTTCATTATGACCTGCGGCAGAGGAAGCTTTTCACCTCAAAGGGGCTAGAAAGCAAAGAGGAGGGGCCAAGGTCCCCAAATCCCCTTTAGGACCCATTTTCTAAAGGTTCTACCACTTTCCAATAGCACCATAGGCTGGGGACCAAGCCTTAACTCCTCTGGTGTTGGAGTCTTTGGGGGATATTCAAGACACAAATGATACACTTGAACATTTTATTTCACTTCTACACTAAGAGATAGTTTCAATGTTGCATTCTCCCTATATGAGCATACACATTTTACAGATTTGCTTCAGTCCCTATCTCTGTTGCATTGAAACCTCAGCAAAATAGGCTTGATTGCCATTTTTTAAAATAAGTTGATTTGAGAGCTAAGGGAGATGACATATATACAAAACGCTCTGCATGGAGCCTGGTGGAAAACAAAAGATATCTGCTGCTCGTTAATGGTAATCATTGTTGTGAAGTTGGTATACTGATGCCAAGCAAGGATCCAGGATAAGTTAGCATAGTAGATCTCACAGGACTGAGAGGACATTAGTAAAGGGGAGAAATGGGGCAGAAAGGTAACCAAAGTGTCAATTTCAACCAGTCATCAGGTGTGCTTGGTACAAACCAATTACTCCCTCCTGTCATCTGAATCTCCCTTTCCCCCATTAAAGCTATGTATTTGCTCTCTCACCCCATCTCAAGTGGCCAGAACTCACACTTCAGTGCTCCTTGGTTGCATCCATATTTGATCTATCCCTCTATCACATACACCTTATCCAGCCAGGCTCTCACTTTGCACTACACCCTGCTCTGGCAGAAATCGGATACTAACATAAAGATGGTATTAATGCTTAATGGGTCTTCGCGGTTGTCTCCCAGTAACATCACATCGGTGGCTACTGGCCCAAGGTCTGCTCGTAGGGATGTCTTGATCTAATATGGATCTGAAAGGGAGATGATTTTAATCCGAGCTGTTTTCAGGATTCTTTAAATCAAGCTCTCGCTTACCTTCTTTGCCTGTGTGTAGACTCAATCTTCAAAGCAAGTTGAGAATATCTCCGTATGTCAAAGAAATATCAAAATCTTTGGATTTGTTCATGATGAAGTTACTGCTACATCAAGATTATTTGTAGTATCTTTGGAGTTAGTCTTCACCATTTGAAAAATGGATTTGTAATAAATCCATTCTTTAGCTCTCAGGAACATCTTATCCTAAAGGATACTCAATAAGCCAGCATGTGCGGAGGACCAGAGAATGGAGTTGTGTTGCCTGGAGATGGGAGATGGAGCACATAAATTTGATATTCATGACATGAACCAGACTTCACAGTTTTAGAACCCTATTTAACAATCCTGTTGCCTATTAGAATCAACTGGAGAATTTTTAAAAATATCAATTCTTAAGACACCCCCGGAGGGATGGTGATTCAACTGATATGGGTGAAAACTGAGAATCAGTATTTTTAAAAAGTTCCTGAGGTGATTCTGCTAAGGATGTAAGAGAGTCACTGCCTTAGAACAGCATATATAATACAAAGCAGGTGAAAATGGCATTGAATTAGGAAGATGGATCTTAGTTGTGACCACAAGCTGAGGTCAGGTTTATGCTCTGGAAGCACTCAGCAACTAAAGTTTGATAAGTTTGGGGGAAAGAACCCTTAGGAAGAAGCCAAGAATCACAATAATTTATATATTATGGATTAGAGGAGTTCTCCCTCCACTGCCAATCACCTCTAATTTTCTTCCTCATTGTTGTAGGAGTAGTGTATGTGTCTGGACTCTCTTTCCCTGTCCATTCAATGACCAAGTTGGATTAGATACACTCAAGAGCATCCTCCAGTTTTGTTATTCTATGATTCTAAGAGAGTTTTCCAGTATTAGAGGAAGTGGGAGCTACAGCTCCACCTCCTCATTAATATTCTGTAGTCATCCCTTATAAGAAGTTGTCCTGGGAAATCTGAGTCAACAGTCCCCCAGCTCTAGCCCTCTCATATGTCAAATGCCAGTCTGGGATGGGGACAGCTACAGCTCCACGCTGGGGCTTCCTTTTTCCTGACTTCTCTGAAGGATTTCATGTGATTCTTGTAAATGCCACCCGTTTTAATTGTAGGATCGGCCTCTAAGTGCGCTCCTTGTTTTCCTATAAGCACATGGCCTGCTCACTGCTGGTATCTGCACAGGAAGTGGTGGGATGTGGAAGTTTACCCAATGTCAGTGTACACTCGTCTTCCTGGTCTGAGCCGTGGAGCCCAGCCAGCAGTTGCTGTGGCACTGAGATCTTCACTCCCCTTCGCCCCCACCCCTCTCCAGTCCCAGCAGCCTTTGGCTGCTCCAGAGTCTCCTGCTTCTTGCTTTTCTGAGCAGAGCTTAAGGAAGTTGATCAAAACAACAACAAAAACTGTTTATTTCTTACATCCTTTGCAGCAGGCTCTGTACTAAGAATGCCACATTGGTCTCTCTAGGCTTCAGACTCTGACCAGTGTCTATTGGGAGGGGATCATCCCAGACAATGCTTTAGTACAATTTGTCCTATCCAGGACACAAACTCACTGGGAAACCATCTGCCTTAACCTTCAGAGAAATGCTCTGATATGGGCCATGCTCATGGCTGAAAGGGAAAAGCAGCCTGGCAGGGAAGGGACAGAGGTGTGAAAGTGTACATTGCAGACCTTTTCAGGCTTTTGCAATGTTACCAGAGAGAAGATGAGGTAAGGTGAAAGTGAGGAGTATGGTTGGACAAAAGACAAATTTAGTACATGTCTGCACTGGAGCCAGGAAACTCCTGAGCCCAACAGAACACCTAACATAGGTCAGTCTCCAGTATTGCCTTCCAGAAACTGGCCTCTTGGTCTAGGTGAGGTCATGCATCTTGTGCTTACCCTTTTGGAGGACTAGGGACAGTGGCATCACATCCCATATTTTCCCTGACTCTCTCTTAGACTCATGAGCACCTAGAACCCTGGAAGAACTCTAGTGACCTCCTTGTATGGGGGGTGACATGGGAGCAAGGAGTAGAAACTTAGCCATAACAGATTCTTCTCTTGCTTGCCCCATGTTTTTGAAACTGGAACCTCTGCCCTGCTGCCTCACAACACTGCTGGAAGGAATAGAAAAAGAGGTGTCACCAGACCAGAAGGGGGTTGGGATTCCAATATGGCACTTCTACTCAGCCTGAGCTTCTACCCAGAAAGGTCCTAGAACATGGATCCAAATCAGAATCCAGCCCCTCCCTCCCCCCACCCTCCCCGCACACACACATTTTGTACTTTCAGGCAATTGTTCCCTGTGTAATTGGGACAATGGACACTCCACACTCCACTCTGTGTTAGCACCCAAAGAGTCAGTGTAAAGTATCCATGGGGTACATAGGAACACACACCGGCAGGCATCCAATAAATGTTGCCATGTTTGTGACTCTGTAATCAAAGAACAATTAGACCCCAAGAAGTCAAATATTTTATTGCTTTTCTCAATAACGTCCCAAATCATTTCTCCCTCAAAATGGTCTGTGAGCAGGCCCCTAGCATATGCTCTGTGATGCCTTCCCTCCATCAGCAGCCCTTGGAAGGCTGTAGGCAGAGGGGCAGGGCCTGAGTAACAGCAATAGGAAATACTGACCCTCCAATCTGTACCTTTCACTCCGTGGGCAATAGGTCTAGGCCAAAGGCAGGGAAGAATAAGCAAGAGTGAAGAAAATAAAGAGAGAAAAAAAGTAACAGAGGAGGGGCATGTCTAGGAATGGCCAACCTCTCACTTGGAGAACACTAATTGAGCCATGTGGCTTCTAGAGTTCAAATAAATTTGTAAGAGCAATGGAACAAAAGATGTGAGAAGGGTACAGGCAATGCCAGCAGAAAACCAGGCTACTGATCTCCCGAGATGAGAACACATTAGAGAATAGCTACTGGCCGTTTTTAATTCCATCATTTTTCAGTTTCTACTGTGTGTGTTTTATAAAAACACGATGTAGCAATACAGTAGTACATGTATACACAGTTACTTTTCCATATCTGTGGCAGATTGGTTCCAGAACCTCCTGTAGATACTAAAGCCCATGGGTGCTCAAGCCCCTTATGTAAAATGACATGGTATGTGCATATCACCTACACATATCTTCCTGCATACTTTCCATCATCTCTAGGTTACTAATAATATCTAATAGAATGTAAATGATATGTAAGTAGTTGTTATACTGTATTTTTTAGGAAAAATAAGAAAAAACTCTGTACATGTTTAGTACAGATAAAATTTTCCCCAAAAATATTTTTTTATCTGTGGTTGGTTGAATCTATGGCTGCAAAGCCCACAGATGTAGAGGGTAGACAATAATTTATAAGCAAATAAATATATCTATTCAAAATTAGGGGGGAGTTCAAAATTTTCTACTGATGGGGTACACAATCAAAAAGTCTTTGGAGATCACCTAACTAGAATGGTGACAAAACTATAAAAGACTCAACCATCCTAGCTAGGGTTCAGGGGTCTGACCAGGGACCTCTGCCAGGCTGGCTTGATATGGGAAAGCCCCTCTTCCAGTTAGTGCCTAGTGTCTGATGGCCCTCTAAAGAGTAAAGTTACTTGCACTGTTACGAAGCAAAAACAAATATCATCATGATTATTATTATGCAAGTCTACAACAAGCCTCTGAGGTCATATCATAGTTGGCCCTCCATTTGTTCCTAGGCCCTCCATACACAACTGGGGCCACTGAAAGACAAGTGGGGACTGAAATCCTGCTCACCAAGCCATCACCATGAGAGGGATGCATCTGCCTTAAGAAAGGGGTATCTTTATTAATTTTTATAAAGGTTCTATAGGATTACAACTGCCTTACTCATTTTGCACTTTATTTATATACAATTTTCTCATCAATTTTCTTTTATAAATAGAACTTATTGTTTGTTTCATCTTGGTCTAATAAGTTTGGTACCCCCTGGAGCACATGCACCGTAGTGGGGATGGCATAATGGGTTTTTGGCTCCAGCACATGCTGTCTCCAAGAACACCGCCCTTCAGGTGAGTTTCTTGAGTATCAGGTTCTGCTCCTGGTCTTAGAGATGCCCTGAGGCCATCTCACTAGGCCAGTGATTCCACACAAAGAAACACAGAACTAATGCCTCAGCCTAGCTTCAGGCTGTGGCCAGCCTTCTGCCCAAGTTGAGACGATGCCTGCCTCAAACGTCTCCATTGAACCTAGTCAACCACCATGGAAGGTTCCATCTTGCTCTGCCTAAATCACAATGGAATAACAAACCCTTCTGAGTACATCAGCAAGCAATTACAAATGCCCCTGCTCATCCTTATCTCCCTGCAAACTCCATTGATTTATTTACTGGGAAATGTAATGTTTTTCCCCCAAAGTCCTTCTCCTCACAGGGAACGACTTTGCTTTGCAGTCATCAGGTAGCATGTGAAAAAGAGCAAAGCTGAGCCTCTCTCTGGCTGTCTCTGAAGTGCTCCTGGGACCCTCAAGCATCGGTCTTGGTCTTGGGTTCCTTCATTGATTTCACAAATTCTTTGACTTCTTCTTCCAAGACCTTGTTTCTCCTCTCAACATCCTCCCGGGTGCGCTCCATGTTGCGGAGGCTGATTTCTAGTGCAGCAGACTTCTTCTTTTCCTTCTCTAGTTCTTCATTGAGTCTTACCACCTTAGCCCAGACTTCATAATTTTCCTTCTCAAGGCTACAAAGAAAAGAAAAGAAAAACTAGGGTGTTGATTCTAGACTTTTCCTTTACAAACAACTTTTCACTCTTGTTCACATCCTCCTCTTCATTTTCCTTTCTAAAACACAAGACCCAAATCCAACCTGTACCTCTTCTTTATGCCTTTCCTCCTACATGAAGACTTCCCAGTCAACCTGAATTCTCAGAGCACGGCTAAGCACATCCTTTTTCACTTCACACCATCTGTGACATCTCTTGTGTTATTGCTTTGCATGTTATTTTCTGCTTTATATCTTTAACCAGATAAAAATCTTTAAAAGAAGGGATCATCTCTAATAAATTTATATTTCCACCCCTATAACACCTCCTTTCTGTCCTGTTCATCAGAAACTGGGGAAATCCCCATGCATGTTCCATAAATCATACTCCCAAATTCTGTGCATGTGATACCTCCTCATCCAGCTCCAGTGAAAAGCCAGGACTTTCCAATGGGGAGCCTTCCTTAGTAAGGTCATCCTGAATCAAGAGTTAGAGAAACAAAGGGAACTGGCCCTTTGGGGAGCTGCACCTGTTGGGTTAATTCCACATAGTCACCTGGGACTGTTTTTAAGGTTTTGGCCACTAACAGTGACAACCCTGGGAATTCAGGAAACCTGAAAAATTTTCACCTGGATCAGTATTCAGAAGTGCTATGAGACAGACAGGATCCTTGTCCTCGGTAGGTGCAGTTCCCCAGAGGGCACTACATTTTGCATCTAGCAGTCACAGTCCTTTGTAGGAACAAAAGACACAGGCTCACAACAGTCTTTCTTTCCAGTACCTAAGACTTAATGGATGAAGTAGTATCCATAAACATGAAAACCTACCAATTCACATTTCATGATCTTATGACTACTGTTTATGTGAGCAAAGCTGGATTGAGGTTATCTCTTGTGAAAAAGAGTTGGTGGGGAATCAGCAGTGTGAAAAAGAGCCCAAGAAAATACTTCACCTACCCAAGACAACAGATTGTAAGCAAGGATCTTAGCAAATGCACGAAGCTGTGACAACAGAACCCTAACCAGCCTCCCACTTCTGTGTGCCCCCTGCAGCCTGTGTTCTGGCCTTCTGGACCTCATTGCCCTCATCTCCTTCTAGTTACTCCCCCTGCTCCCAGCATGTCTGCACTTCACCTTCTCCCTTCTTGTGGCCTCTGCACCTTGGCTTCTCTGCCTGGCATGCCAACCTGACTTGTTTCCTTGCCTTCTTCAGGCCTTTACTTGTGTGCCACCATCTCGGGGAGGCCTTTCCTGACCACCATACTTAACATTAGAGCCTTTAATGAACTTGAACTTTCAACCTCTGGTCCTACTTTATTTTTCCACAAAGCATTTTCCACCATCTGACATAACATATATTTTATTACATGTTTTTTACTCTGTTCCCACGGGAAGGGACTTTTGTCTGTCTTGTTCAGTGCTGCTCTCCAAGGGGCATAGGAGGTGCTCAAGAAATGTTTGCAGAAGCAATGAATAACATTGATATGAAACATTGTAAGAGTTCCTCTTAATTCAATAAAGCACTCTGATTCTTAAGGAACCACTATTTGGACATTGTTGGTTAAGCTACTTAGGCTAGATATTTAAGTTTCCATAAATCGAATCTGATGTTTAGAGTTTTTATTAATTTAGCCATCTAATCACTTTCTTTCCCCTTTTTCTTATTAGGTTTGACTGCTAAAGATTCGTGTCTTCCCTAAAGAGTTTCATAACGTAACTTCTTGGTAGACGAGAATAAGACCCATTGCTTCTGAAGATGGAAGCCAAATGCTACCCAGCGCTCCTCTGCGTGGGACTTACTTTTTAATCTGTTCCTCATACATCTGCTTCTGTGTTTCTATTTCCTTCCTCAGGTCGTGGACCAACCTCTGCAAAGAATCAAGTTCCTCTTCTCCAAAGTCCTTTCTTCCAGGCCCAGTTTCGGAGTTTGTGCTGGCAGGAACATCTTTCTTGGAGTCACAGGCAGGTGCAGAGAACACACTTGCTGAGTTTCCAGGGGACCCTGGCAGAGCAGGGACATTGTCATAGGTGGAAGTCCGCTGGGAGTCAGAAAGGTGGCGCAAGTCTTGGGACACAGTTCTCCTGTGCCCCTCCCCTGGCTTAGCCCCGGAAGACGGCGACCAGAACTCATTTTTAAAGATTTCTACTTTACTGCTGTTGGCACCTTGAAAAGCTGATGTCAAGAAACATTTCCGGTTAGGGAGTGTTTGTGTCCTTTTACGAGATTGCACCTTCCAATCTCCTGACTTTTCCTTGGGGCCCTTGCTGCTGTCCTCTTGATACTGGTCACCTGGTTGCAGTCCAGTGGGGCTGGTGGCATCAGAATCACTTGTCTAGAAAAAAATAACCAGGGATATGACATGATTTTTTTTTTGCCACCCATGTATCACACCCCCAAAATAAGGATCAGAGATTTGCAAGAAAATGTTTCTTCATTGCACACCTGTGAGAATATTTTTTTTTTTTTGGTGGTGGTTGTAATGGAGTTTGAACTCAGGGTCTCATGCTTGCTGAGCAAGAGCTCTTACTGCTTGAGCCATCCCTCTTTTTTTGTGATTTTTTTTTTTTTTTTTTTTTTAGGAAATAACTGTTTGGTATTAACAGAAATCAAATTGTTGAATAACTTTTTTTTCCCTTTTTCTTTTATTACTCATATGTGCATACAAGGCTTGGTTCATTTCTCCCCCCTGCCCCCACCCCCTCCCTTACCACCCACTCCGCCCCCCTCCCCCTCAATACCCAGCAGAAACTATTTTGCCCTTATTTCTAATTTTGTTGAAGAGAGCTTATAAGCAATAATAGGAAGGAACAAGGGTTTTTGCTGGTTGAGATAAGGATAGCTATACAGGGCGTTGACTCACATTGATTTCCTGTGCGTGGGTGTTACCTTCTAGTTTTTCTGGTTTTTTTTTTTTTTTTTTTGAGATAGGGTCTTGAGAACTATTTGCCATGGGCTGGCTTTGAACCATGATCCTCCTGATCTCTGCCTGCTGAGTAGGCAGGATTACTTGCATGAGCCACCGGTGCCTGCCTAATCTTAATTAGAAGACCATCTCCTAATTTATCACCTACTATCTACATAGTAAATTTCCAGAAGGATATTGTACTTAAGGAAGTTGTTTGTGCTCTTAGAGATGAAATGATGACTAAAATCATTTACTTGCTAGTGGCAAAAGAATCCTAAAGTAGGATCATTTTTAAGCTGAGAAGTCTTTCTAACTGTGACTCACAATCCAGACACTACAAAGAAAAGTTCAATAAATTCAACTGATGTGAATTTCTACAACCTCCAAAAGTAAAAAGAACAAAAGTAAAACAAATGAATCACCACATGCTAAAGCCAAATAACAAACTGGCAAAAATATTAGCAATACATATCATAAACAATTCTCCTTAATATATAAAGGGTCAACTTTCTTCATTATATAAAGCTTATAAAAATTCAGAAGAAAAAGACCAACAACCAATATAAATAAGGGCAAAGGGCAAGATTAGACAGTTCACAGAGGAAAAAAATGCAACTGGCCCTTAGACATAAGGAAAGATGTTCAGCTTCTTTTCATAATAGGAGAAACGCAAATTAAAATTACTAAAACCAGCTCCTGCATATCAGATGGTCAAAACCCCCAAATTCGACAGTAGACTCCGTTAGTGAAACAGTAGGGAAACAATTTCTTTCGTGCACTGCTTGTGGCGGTACAAAATGGCACAAATGCTTAATAATTTTTTATCAAAACTACATATGTAAGCATACTTATCCTCTGACCTTGTAACCCCACTTCTGGGAACTTATCAGAAATATAGCTACCTGAGCACCAAAGGAGATATGGTCAAGATTATTCATTGCAAACTTGCTATGTGTAGAGCTAATTAAGTAGATTATAGTACAGGTAAAGAACAAGGTACTATACACCTACCAAGAAATAAGAAATGCAGTAAGTGGGAAAGTATTTATTGACATGAAAAATTCTCCAGGATATACTAAGTTCAAAAGTGCAAGATACATAAGAGAGACAGAGAGAAAGAGAGTAGAGGAAGGGAGAGAGTACATTTTGGGTTAAAAAGGAAGGTGAGGAGATGATTTATGCTCATATGTTCTTACATATACATAAAGGAACACTGGAAAGATAAATAAGAAACTACAAGTCAGCTGCCAGTGGCTCATGCCTGTAATCCTAGCTACTTTGGAGGCTGAGATCAGGAGGACTGAGGTTGAAGACCAGCTTGGGCAAACAGTATGAGTTTCATCTCAATCAATAGCTGGGTGCAGTGCCTCATGCCTGTCATCCCAAACTAGGTAGGAAGCTGAGATCAGGAGGATTGCATTCCAGAAGAGCCTGGGCAAAAAGTTTGCAAGACCCCATCTCAATGGAAAAAAGCTGGGTGTGGTAGCACATGCCTGTTGCTCCAGTGCCTGTCATATTAGTATGAGCAGGAAGTGTAAAATAGGAGGATTGTGGTCCAGGCTGGCCTCAGCAAAAAGCCAGACACTATCTGCAAAATAACCAGAGCAAAAAGGACTAGAGGCATGGCTCAAGCAGTAGAGTGCCTGCCTAGCAAGCATGAAGCCCCATGCAATGGAAAAACAAACAAACAAACAAACCAATAAAGGCAGGAAAAAACAGGGTGTGTGAGAACAGCGGAGGGAGCAGACTTCTTAGTGTATATATTTATCTTTCTTTGTTTTTAACTATGTGCATATAGTACATATTTTTTAAATTAAATTATTTAAAAACTGGAAAAGAAAGATTAAAAAGTGAGCCTAACATAAGGTGGGGAAATGAGGAGACTCAAGCTCTCTTCCTTCCTTCTAGCTAGTCACTTGCTTCAACAATCGCAGTCTCCCCTGTCCTCTGCAGTCAGAAGCACCTGGGGCCTGAAGGGGAAGCAGACCTGAGTCCTGTTCTGTACGTGCTAGTGCTGCCAGCCTGGGTCAACTGGCCTCAGCTCATCATCCAAAACATGCAATGCTAAACTGCCCTGCAGTTCTGGTGAGGACTCCAGAGGCGACTTATTTAAATTTCCTAGCACAGTCGCTGCCCAAGTACACAGTGAACAGCAGAAAACCTGTGAAACGAGCATAGCAGGGGCTATTTTCAAGGACTGTGGGAGTAATTTTATTACATGAAGTCTGAGCATTTCTAAATTGCAATTTAATTTCAGAATGTGAGTAAAATGCCTGTATTGAGACAAAGCTTGTCTAAGAAAAACTACAACCTCTACCATTACTACTTTTGTTGCTATTGTTTTCCATCTTCGACAGCACGACAGGTAACTCATCTGGTCTACCAAAAATCTTCACTACGCCACACATAAAGAATCAAGCTGCTATATAAAGTTCACATTCTTTAAAAAAAAATCTGTTCCTATAAATATGTAAAAGTATTTGACCTTTGTAAATTATTGCCCTCGAATAGCCTCCATTTTAGAGTCTGCAGAGTTTGGGGACAGTGGGAACGTGAGCTCAGCCCTGCTGTACAACTGAGGGGGCTGACATTGCTGAGACGGCTTATCAGGGGATGAGGGATACTACACAAACACATTGCACACTCTGCGAAAGGGATCACGTTTCAGGGTTAGCAGGAAACCGTTCTCTCTGGACTTTCACACACAATTTTCAACAACTCTCACCAAAACATTTGTAATGTTAGAGCTAATTTTGTTATTGTTGTTGAACTTCCCTTTGCCCAGTCTTAGGCAATTGGCGCACATGTCACTAGCCCCGCCCCCAGGATACCAACAGAGACCAGATTTTGAAAGGGGCCAGGCTTTCAAGGTGTGTTCAAATGGGTCTGAACCAGCTGTGCCCAGTGCCACAGCATCATCTGTAAGTCACCAAGTTGCCAACCCAGAGCAGTTCTTACATGAAATGACCTGGACTAAAGGAATTGTCCAATGGAGGTAGGAAGGCTTTCAGTCTTACCATGTTACTAAAACTGTCTGTCCTGGAAACCGGGGGATCTTCAGTGGCATCCCAGCCCACAGAGCTCCGAGGCACTGGAGGTTTCTTAGGATCGTTTTTCTGTGCAGGGGGTGACAGGGGTGCATCCTTGGACTTGGGGAAAAGGACTTCATGGTCTCTGATCATCATGGTCATCACTCTTTGGATCTGAGGAGTCCCTGAAAGAAAGAAGAAAGAGATTTGTAGTTCTGGACCAGGGATAGAAGGCAAGTAGCCCTCAGGGTTGGCAGCTATGAATGTCTGTAAATATAACCCTAAACAGCAGAGCCCCAAAGACCTCATTCTAAATTGCCTTTAATATAATAAGGGAGGAAATGAAGACATTTTTCTCTCCTGCGGTGAACCTCAATATAACATCTATTTTCTTACTGGACACGTAGTAAACGTGTGCCAGGCACTGCCTTCCTACCCCCATAGTAGACTTTAGTTCTCTAGCCCAGAACTTTTGTCTATTGAGCCAAGACACAACTTCAGAAGCTTTCTCACCCTAGTTTCACAGCAGCCTTTTTGTAAGTTGGCTTATGAAATGAAATCCCATTTGCTCTACCTGGCTAAGGGTATTTAATAGTGATAAAAGACTAGGGAACACGAGTTAACTCTTTTTGTGCTAGTCTACTGTGCACTGTGATCATTCAGCAAACCACTTATGATCTGGAAAATGGACACAATTCCTGCCCTACCTACCTCATAAAGCTATTAATATCATTCAAAGGAGACAATTAACTGAAAACACTTGGCAAACTGCAGAACAGTACACAAACACTAGGGGCAGCATTGTTACTGCTATTGTTACTGTTATGTCCTCTGTGCTGGACTTCACTGCAGGACCAACCTATGTACCTCTCATGATGACAGCAGGATCTTCAACCTTTGACCTGATGAGATTAACACCAATCACAGTAGCCAGGTTGTCCACACTCATCTTGTTAACAGCACAGTTCAGCTGGATTTCATGTAGAAACCTGTGGGCAGCCATGAAATCCCATTGTAGAAAACAGAAAGTGGCCAGGAGAAAGCACCTCTGCTGTACTTGTTGGATTCCAACTCCTTCCTCCTGTCCATAAGAATTTATGTTTGGTTCAGAAGATCCAAGACTAAGGAAGGAAGAGAAACCATGGGGCTTCCCAGCTGCTGGGAATGGGATGGGGCCTGGGTTGGAGAATCACATAAGCAAGTGGCTGGATTCAGTTGAGGAAATTCAGAGGTGACTAGAAGAACTAAAGTGGATTATCTGACTGCCCCCATGTCTTGCTTTTATAGGCAAGTCACCTGCCTCTTCACACATCTCCAGAGAGGAAAACTTTATCAGTGAAAAGGCCTTACGGATGGGGAGTCCATGGAGCCTCCTCACTCTCATCCTCCAATTAAGGTACTGAGAAAACTCTATGTAGGTGTTCAATACCTAACAATTATCCAGGGTGTTCCAGAGCTAGGAAGACCAGAGATAATTCTGGAAGCATTATAAGGGTTCTGGGTTGTCTTGCATGTCGTGGACTCCTGGCAGTGCTGGGACAGACCTGAAGGAGGAAGCATGTTCATTCTGTGTGCCAACAGGGTTTTTAGAGATCCCTTAAATTATTTTGTGGGAATAGGAAGCTCTCTCAGTGCTATAAGAATAGAGTTGAGCTTCCAAAGTTCTGTAACAGAATCTCTGAGAGCTCAGAATAGTCCCTCTTCTTCTAACCAGGGACTTTGTTTTTTCTGTTCTGTTTTTTTTTTTTTTTTTTTTGGTGGCACTGGGGTTTGAACTCAAAGCCTCATGCTTGCTAGGCAGGCACTCTACCACTTGAGCCATGTTTCCAGCTCTTTTTCTGCTTTAATTATTTTTTGGATAGAGTCTTGGACCATGATCATGCTGATCTCCACCTCCTGAGTAATTGGAATTACAGGCATAAACCACCACACCCAGCCCAGGGACTTCTGTCTAATGTGGCTGAAAACTGTAGAGGACTACAGTCCTACAGGGGACTCTTACCTGCAGATGTAACTCAGAAGACTATAGTTGTCACGAGGAAGGCTGGAGAGCTGCTTCATCAACTCCTGCTGAGCCTGGGAAGAGATTTTTTTTTGACACTAGTAAGCAAGCCTACTCGAGTGCCAACCAGGAGAACTGTTGGTTATGATGCACATAACCAGTGCATCGAACAGAAGCAACACTTTGACAATCATTCCATTCTTACAGTCTTGTGACTTTAAAAATATATTTAGAAATAGCTCTAAATTCTCAGAAATTTGCAAGAAATAGTATTGAGGGGGTCATAGTCTTCTATACAGTGAATTTTTTAGACATATCTTTTGTAATTATAACACCCACCTCTCTCTTGACCTTGAACCACTCTCGGGCATAGACTATCTGACAATTTCTTGCTCAATGAAAACATGAGATGTTATGATCCAATAAAGAATTAGGACACAATCAAATATCTCAGAATCACTGTAAAAGTGGTGAGAAAAAAGGAAGAAATTTCTGTGAAGGTTTTTAAGCCTTGCTGAGAACTGCTGGGACACAGAGACAAGATGACCAAGCTGGAAGCAGGTGCAGCATTGGCCATTTAAGCGCAAGTCAGATGTGGTCGTTCAAGGAATGCATGTGATAGGGAGAGGAAGGACAAGGAGGTCTTTGTCCTTTTCAGACACGCTGCCTGTAGGGTCTGTAATCACTGTTTGTAGCACCATGCTTGTGAGAGCACACAGGTCCCCATGAGGTCTGTAGGCATTCCCCAGATCTGACCACCCATTATCACCGATCTAAGCTGCTCTGCTGGAGAAAACACACCATGCATTCTCACCAATCTATGTGCATCCCCATGGTGGAGACCCTCTGGTCCAGAGTTCCTACTTCATGGTGAAGAAGACCTTGGTCCCTTTGTCCTGCCAAATTGCCATAGTCGCGGGGACTCTCCGGTGTGTGGAGACGGGAAGAAGTTGGGAAAAGCAGTCTCACATGAGCATCTCACATTCTTAGGGTGGGAGTCTTGTCAGAACCTACTTCTCTGTGCCTGCTTTCCTTTCCCCAGAACTGAGGCGTAAGATGCCACCGCAATAGCTGCATTTTTAGCTAACTTTTAGACCTATTCTTTAACATTTTACTTCTCTCACAAAAGTGAAAAGCTTAAATTAACTTTTCAGATCCTCTTCTTTCTCCCCTTACCAAATTCATAAATCACATACCAAATATCCTACAGCAGATCATGCAATCTAATTTTTGTTTGTAAAATAGCTACAATAGTTAGCTGCATCATTATTGTTCTCTTCCTGCCCAAATTTTTAAGATAAAATTTGCCTTTTTTTCTTGTAGAAGGAACTACACAAGTCATAAGGTTCCCCACTGTCAGTCAATATGGAAATTCTCACAGCTGTGTTTTCTTACAGGGCTAGGGCATTAGTTGTTCATTCATTTAAAATATTTATATTCTGTAGTACAGAGTATATAACAGTTCTGAAGTAGAGCAGAGAATAAACCTCCTCTTATAACAATACTTATACCAAGACTTTTAATATTTTTAAAGTGACTCATTTGTATCATATCCCTCAACCCTGGACATATAGAATATGAGAACTGTCTGCTTGTGCTGGCAACTATAGTAGCTACTTGTACATGTGACTATTTAAATTTAAATTAATTAAATTTTTTTAAATTAAGAATTTCAGGTATACTAGCCACCTTTCAAATGCTCAGCAGTCATGTGTGGTTAGTGGTTGCCACCTTGGAAAAGATATATAGCATTTATTACTGTAGAAAGTTCAATTGGTCTGAGTAAATAAACTGAGTCTCACAGAAGATGCATAATTTGCCTAATGGCAGAATCAAAGTCAAATTCATGACTTCATTATAGGTTTTTCTGTGTACCACCTTGCCAGAGAGACACAATGAAAGCCAACTTACTTAAAGTGGAGGAATTAGACCCCCATTTTAGCAGTGTAGCACAAATAAATTCATGAGCTATCTGGTGTTAAAAGTTGGGGTACAAAACCAAGAGGTTTCTTGTTGCTGTTTGTTCTCTTGCTGGAGAATGCGTGCACTCTCAAAAGTGTGATGCTGCAGATGGTGACTGCAGACCCCATGGGCAGCGGTGGCAGGAAAGAGGGAAGGAAAGTTCCTATCTTTCCTCTCCTTTCCCTGGTCCATGCATTCCTTCAGCGACCATGCCTACCACCATGGCCATAAACAGAGCTTAAACAGCCCAACCCTATACCTGCCCTATAACTTGGTCAGCTTGTCCTTGTGTCTCAGCAGGTCTCAGCTAGGCTACAGTGCTTGAATACCTTTACAGAAGTAGTGTCTTTTTTTCATTTTAAAAAGAATTCTGAGATATGTGATTAGGGTTCATTTCTCTATTGGATTATGACATCCATGCAGGCTTATGGTCACCATGCAGTCACCATGATTGGCACCATCTGCCATTTTCTGTTGAGGACATCTAGTTGGACAAAGTATCTTACCAAAGTATGTCACTACCAGAATAGTGTTCAGGAGCCAACTGCTTTCTTCTAAAGCAGAACCAACAAAGGAAACACGAACCTTTGCCTCATCTGCATTCATGAGCTGCCCGCAGAGCAGGAACCCCTCGTACTGGCTCCAGGGAACCACGGGTTCTGGGAGGTCTCGGAGGTAGAGCTTTAGCAGAGAGGCCACGGTGTGCACATCTGTATCTCTGGAAGAAAATAAGCAACCCTGTTTGAAAGGGCAACTCCAGAACTCTTCACTTCCACTTGGATGGTCCACTCAGTAGAGCCCTGAGTTCCAGAGGGTAGAGATCATGAAGTAATGAGACCCAAATGTTTTTGCTAATTCTTCCTTTTGGAATAACAACCTTAAACACTTTTCCCTCTATTTCTCCCACCCAACTACTTCAAAGGTAAATTCAAAGTCCACTTTTTCATTAAATTTCCTTTAAATATTTTGTTCTTTACTGTTTTCTTCTTTCTTCAAGTCACTCAATTAGCACCGTGTAAATTAGTCTCTAATTTTTTTATATATTAACTCCTTTATGTTCTTGGTCCATTGATCTCTTTAATCTTTTGAGATTCTTTCATGTAGTTCCTCAATAATCTATTCAATCAATAAGCATCGAGAGAGCTTACTTTTGTTTTTTGCTTGTCATGCACTGGAATTTCAGTAGTAAACCCAAGAGACACACAGGACCCCTGGCCCCATCAGGCTACAGAGCTGAGGGGACACAAGTATTACCAAGTCTTTATAATCCTGGGCCTTACTCTTTATGGCCCAGCTCATAATATGGGAATCCCAGGACTCAGAGTGTGGACTCGTAAGTCAATTGGATGGAAGTGTAGCCAGGGAAACCCATGCCAGGGTTGGGCAGCAAAAGGTGCCTCCTCAGATAATATAGGACCTTGGGTGAACCTGAGAAGTCATGAGGAATTACGGGCATGTGTGTTAGCTTAGAACAGGAGGCCCTGTTACAGGGACTGAGACAACATCAGGTGAGTGTCTGACTGAAAGAGACAGGGGCTGTACAGTTCAGTTTCTCTCATTTATAGCAGGGGTTGATAAACCATAGCCTGAAGGCAGATCTGGTCAAGCATCTGCATTTGTATGGCCTTCAAACTGAAAATGATTCTCAACATTTTTAAATGGTTGGGAAAAAAAAACTCAAAAGAAGACTACCTCATGACATGTGGAAATTATATGAAATTCAGATGTCAGTGTCCATAAAATAAAGTTTTAGGACACAGCCACACTTGTTCATTTCTGTATTCTCTTTGCTTTCTTACTCTAAGAGCATAGCATGGTAGCTGTGGCAGAGACTGTCTAGCCTGAAAACCCTAAATATTTAATATGTGGCTTAGTATGAAAAGTTGGCTGACTTCTGGCTTACAGGGCTATTGCATTTATTTTGCAGGGCTATAAGAGAAAATGAATCTGAATCTACCACATACAGTCATGTGCTACTTAACAAGAGGGATGTGTTCTGAGATATATGTCATTAGGCAATTTAGTCATTGTGTGAACTCAAGAGTGCACTTACACAAGCCTAATGGTGTGACCTACTATCCACCTAAGTGCTACAGTACAATACCGTTGTATGCATGGTCTGTCACTGACCAGTCAGCAATAGGGAATGTGAACTGACTGGATGGATAAGGGGGTGGGTTTGGACAGGAGAAGGGAAATATTTGAGGCAAGGGAAACAGGAACACCGGAAGTTGGCTGTAAAGCTTTCTCAGAGCTCTGTGTACAATTTTTTCAATTGCTTTTGTTCTTGGTAGCCAGTTGTTGGCAATGCATTCTGCAGTACCTACCCCTACCCTGCCTTTGCAGCCTGTGAACTTTCTACCTCTAAGAGAACACAGAACTGGCATAGGGCCCTGTCTACATTCTGTGGCCACCCTCAGGAAATGTGGGACAAGACTGTCACCTTAACATAGAGATTCTGAAAAAAAAATCCAACTTTGCTGAGTCAATATCTAAAAATAATCCTGGGCAGGACCAGTCTGGGAAAAGTACTTGTGTCAAAAGATGATGAGAAGATAACTAGTGGCAGAAAGACAATCAGCTGATAATATGCAGGAGCAGCATTCTACTAAAGTCCCAAAGCTGCATTCTCCTAATGTCCCCAAATCCCAGTCCACTCAATTGTGTTTATCAAAATCTAGGGACTGGGTTGATTGGGACCTCTCCTCCTTCCTATATTCAATTAATCTCCCAAGTTCCCTCAATTCTGTTATTCCCAAAGTCATGTGGATCCCTCAGAATCCCTCCTCTCCTTAAACTCCCCTGTTTCAGAAGGTCATTGTTTCTCCCTAGGATTCTGCCCTGGCCTCCAATCTGGTGTCCTTGCATCCAGCATCCTGTTCATTGGTGCACTGCCTGGCACAGCCTCCAGCACACAAAACTCACTGACAGAATGAACAAAGAAAATGAAGAATTTGAAATGAGAAAGACAGTATAAATGAGAAGTCAAAAACAACTAGATCCTTTGAAGAGAAACAACAGAAATAAAAAAGATATAGTCTGAGCAGGAAGCACTAAACACAGCAAAATCTCCAACATTAGAAAGAGAAAGGGATTATAGCCACACATATAGTATGGATAGATGGATAATTCAAAGTCATAATCAAAAATTATAATTAAGTGCATATATATACACATGTAAATTAAATATATATGTATGCATACATGCATGCATATTAAGTATATATATGTATATACACACATACACATACACACATACACTAGACCCTTGGTTTCCTCGGGGGTCTATGATCCAAAGGAGACCATGGCTGAGGAAAAACTGAATGCTTGGGATGCGTAACGTCAGTGCTGTACTGAGGATGCTTGACTCTTTTTTCCCATAATGCCACTCAACTTCCACTGAAGACATGCCACCCTTTAATCAGTCAAAAATTTTTACTTTATCATTTAAATTAAGCACATTAACTTTTAACCTTGCTTTGGGGACAGCATTTGCTTTTGGGGAGGCAGATTTTCACAAAATTAAGGTCAGGGAAACACTTGACATATCACACAATGATTTAAACACAACTGATGATAATGCAGGACTGACTGAGAGCTTCTCAACCTCAGTTGAACTGCATAAAAGAATTTCAAATTTCTGTTTTTAAAATTTATTTTGATTAACTTATTTTTTAATTATTTTTGACTGTGCTTGGTCAAAAATGGTATGTAATAAATTTATTACATGGTGTGTAATAAATCCATCACTAAGGGATGTAATCAATGTAATCTTAGGACTTTAAAACCTCCAGAAAACCATTTTGCCAAAGATGGTGTTGAAAAGGCCTACTGTCTGACCTAGCTAACTCCTCACTCTTGCTTATTGTGTCTCAGTATGAATATGGGGAGAATAATGGGGAGAACCCCCTTGAACACCTTACACTGTATCAAAAGCTCCTTCTTCTAAGTTGTCATAGTACTCTTAACATAATGGAACTTCTACAGTTGTTTCTATAAATTTTTGCTTTGATGCCTGTGCCCCATCGAATTAGGGTTGGCTCAGATGTCAATGTCATTCTTATGGTTAAAGCTTCCGGCATCATTTTTCCTGAGCTGGCTGCTCCTCCAACCCAATGGAACAACCTTAAATAATTTTTTTTAATCAAGGACTAGGAGCAAGTCAGGACCCAGGTGGTTTCTGAGTTCAATAAGTGATGCATCAGAGATTATGCAAGGCCCATCAGATGACTCTGTTAGTGCTTACCTTAGAATATTGATACAATGTGACATGTCTGTTTGTACTTTGTCACAAAAGTGTTGGCATGGGAAGTACATTAGTTTTGTGTCCAGGTAATATCCAACTCAACAGAAACTTGACAAGGAAATTTTTAATTTTACATTTCTATGTTTAATGAGAACCATACACACTTGCACTAGAATCTCCCAAGCAAGAGATTCCATGATTCCTTCCATTCTAGTCAGATAATGGGGGGGGGGTGTCTTATAGTGGAATGGAGTGTATGGTCAATGTAGAAGATCTAGGGAAGTACCCACTGGCTTGCTAAGATGGGACTTTTTGTCATCCCAAATCTCCTTCTGCCACTCCTTAATTTCTAAATGGTTTTCCAGGGGGGCACAAAAAGCTATAATTGTAATAAGGCTTTACAAAGCTAACAACCAAAGAGAGGTCAACAAAACTGGCAAATTTACTCTGAAGTTATTAGTGAAAGTGATCAGTGTTAGATGGTTACCTGAGACTGAGTTTAGCCTAGGGGTAGAAGAGAACCAATATTAGGACTGTTAACCTGAACTCTGTGTGTGTGTGTGTGTGTGTGTGTGTGTGTGTGTGTGTGTGTGTGTGTGTCTGTGATAGTGGAGATGGGAAAGAGGGTAGCAGGCCAGGAAAATGGGGAAAGGGAAGGTCGGGGGAGTCATAATGGCCTAGGGGTGAGAAGATCTGAGGCCGAGGGGCTCTTTATTTAGAGCCCAGGAACAGGCTGCCTAGCCATGTGGGTAAGTTGCTTAATCTTTTTAAAGCTGCTTCATCATCTATAGAATTGCAATAATCTTATTTGTTCTCCAGGTTTGTCTTGAGGGCCAAATCAGAAAAGGTATGTGAAAGTAATCTAAAATTAAGTTGAAAACTCTGTAGTTCAGTGTAATATCAGGCATTCATATCACATCCCAAAGGGTAAAGAAATGGAAAGTTGGACATTGAGATGAACTCTGATGACTCCATAGCCATGGCCCAGGGTAAAAGCCTGTAGGATGCTATGCCCTGGTGATATATAGGTGGAACAGGAGTTCTCTTAATATAGGACATGCTCTTAAAAGAAGTCTTGGCCCCAAATAATATGTTGGAATGTAACTAAATAACAAGAATAAGAAAGAAGAAGTCACTGCTCCCCCAAAACAGACTCAGCCTCTGAGGGTTACATGGTCCCTAGAGTTGGCACTCTGAGGACCATAAAGAACCCAGGAGACCCTTCCTACTTGTGGATGTGTCTACTTTACTCCTCAGTACTACAGGTAGAGATGTTATGACAAGATGTGGCAACTCTCTCCCTCCATCTCCCAAAATTTCTTGAGAATCAAAGACTCCAATACCACTCTTCATACCAACTTGATAAGGCCTGAACTAATGTTATAAAGCAGTTATTTGGTAAATCCCAGCAATCAGTCCTTTTGGCTTACTGCTTGCATTATTTTAGCAATAACCCACCTGCATCTTTTGGTCAATTCAAAGCCAATTAAAAAGAAGAAAACTGAATACAAAGGTGGCAGGCATAATGGAACAGGGGCCTGCTCATGAAATGCAATTTATGGTGCTGCAAAAGGTCCCTACATTTGTTGCCCAAAACCTGCTATAGTTCCAGTGACAACTCCACCATTGCTTCCCATAGCACCCTTGGTAAGTTAACCTATGACATACTAAACGCAGGAAAGACAGACATATGGTGGTCCAAACTAAGACTGTGGTGGTGAACATGGAAACAGATGGACCTCAGAGATGCTTCAAGGGAAAAGTGGGCCACAGTGATAATTAAGCTGGGGATGGGGTGATGAGGTAGAGAATGAGAATGTTCACACAAGCATGACACTTAGGTCTTCACAACTTTCCCCTCTGTCCTAAATAAGCTCTGGGGATTTCAATGTTTGGAAACTGGGTAGAGTTCAGGCCTATCATACTAAATCTAACTAATTTGGAAAGAACAAAGGATCTTATGTCAGCAGGACAAGTATACACAGGCAACCAGGATGGGCCTTTTACAACAGGCACAGGGCTGGGGTGGAGAGTGTATCAGCTGAGAACGGAGGGGAAGGAAAGCTCTGCTGGGTGGCTGGAGGAGGTGGGAGAAAAGCAATGGTAGGAAGAAATGTCACTACATTTAACATGTCCCAAACTGGGTGGGCAGCCTCCACAGAGGAAACTTGGAAGAGCACCAGGCTGCCATGGTAGTACATGCTCCCCAAAAGGCTCAGAACTGAGTTCAGAATCAAGCAGTACTGTGGACTTGGAAACTAGAAATCCTAGTTCTGGAATGCTGAAGAAGAACATTGGTGTCCTTGGCTATAGCTATGGTTCATTCTCTACCACACCATGTGTCCATATATAGACAGCTCTGCCTTCTCAGGCTTCTCATCTGCCCCAAGAGCAGGCGTCAGGCTAGGTCCCATCTTTCTCCCTACTCTCAGGCCCCCTTCCCCTATGTCCTAAGCATCCCCTGAATCTGCCCAGCAAGACTCTAGTTCCACTTCACAACCTGTCTCACATAAACAATCCGCATGCTCTCCTAACTGTGCTCCAGGTCCCAACTTCAGAATTTTGAGTAGAACAAAAGTTTCCTTCTATTATGAGCCAGTGCTCTTGGATGCAACTATGAGAGTCCCATAGCTCAACTGGGATGGAGAGATCTTTGCCTGAGCCACTTGGTACAGAGGGCGGACATAGGACACTGGAGACGAGGACAGTGTACCTGTCAAAGGAGGGTCGTTCCCCAGCATCAAAAGCATCTCTCAGCTGCTTCACCAGGTTGTCCTGCCCAGGCAGACGGAAGATGCCCTCTTCATTCACACCATGCTCGAGGATGAACTCTGTGCACTTCTCTACCAGGATAGGAACGAGGTGAGGGCCAAACTTCTGTTCATAGGCTACGGTTTCATCCAAGCGCTGGCCGAACACCGCTGAGAAGGTAAAAAAAACAGGACTTTCCTGTCATTCTGACCTTCCTTGGATCAACTGATTTTTCTGTCACTCTGACTTTAAAGGTTTTAGTGCAATGATACTAAACAAATTGGGAGACAAACTACTCATAATATTTCATGGGGTTATAAATTTAGGGCAATCTCTGTCCTTTTCTGTTGACTCCCATTTTTACATGTTTAAAATAACAGCTGGCTTTTACTGAGTATTTGTGTGCTAGGAAGTGTGCCAAGAACTTCACATACCTTTTCTCATTTAATCTTGACAGAAGCCCCATTTTGGTGGTAGCACTGTCATACCCACCTTCTTAATGATACTGAACCTCAGAGGCACTCGTGAACTTGCCAGATCAAGAAGCACAGGACCTGGCGCAATCAGAAGTCAAGCCCAGACAGCGAGGTTCTGAGAATGTGCACAAAGTGCCAGCAGCAAGCAGGCCGTTCTGAATTCTGCCAGCGTCACAGAGCTTGAAAGCAAAATAGCCTGTTGCATGGTTGTCCTATGCTGTGCTAAACCCCTGTGACATCTAAAATAACTTAGGTTGTTTACTATGTTCTGCTACTATAAACACTGTCATTGTAAACATGTTCTTTTGCCTAGCAGAGTTCCTGGAATGTATGTAGTACAGATGCCTAATGCCTAACTAATTGCTTTATTAATCAATTAACATTTGGACAGATGAACACAGACATTTCATTCCTTTGAACTATTTCCTTAGGTCAAATCCCCACGTGTAGAATTACAAGGTCAAGTGGTTTAAACATTTTTACGACCTGATGGGGTATGCAAATTACTTTCCAAAAATATCTTTCCAAATTGCACAGCCTCCGGCAAAGCAAGCGTGGACCAGCCCCACCCCAGCCCTGTCAGCACTTGGCTCTGTAATTTCCCCACCCCTGCAAGTAACAAGATTAGTTTCTAAATGAGGACGACCACTGCCTACCTATTCTCCCATCAGGCTTACAAGTTCATAAAACTGGCCATGGATTCAGTTCTGCCCTGTCTGATCTTCCCTGTGTCATAACTGGGGTTCTGCTACACCCAGCACTTAATGCCAGGACACTGGTTTGCTCTCTCCCTCCCTTTAACTCCCTCTCTTGCTCTCCTCTATCCAGACCCTAATTAAGCAAAGTCAGCCAGGCTCAGAAGGCCAAAAATCACATGTTTTCCTTCATATGTGGATCATAGACCTAAAACAAATGCAGTAATATTATTGGACAGGGGTCACATACTAAGGGAGAATGCGCACAGGAGGAATAGGGTAAAGGAAGGAAATCTAAAATTTGAATGTGGTTGATGTGCTCCCTGTTGAAATGCAAATAAAGTAATCTTAAATTAGCAGAGGCCACTATGGGAAAGGGATCAAGAAGTAGTGACGAGGTCTGGCAGAGATGAACCAATGTGGTTGTAATACAAATGTGCATGGAAGCAATGCTAGGAATTTCTCTCTATATCTTTATCTCGAACTAGCAAAAACACTATGTCTTTCTTATTATGTCTTGTGTTTTCTCTTCAACAAAATCGGAGAGGAAGAAGATGGAACAGGTTCTGCCTGGAAGTGGGGGGGTTGGGGGTGAGGGATTGAGGGGGAGGTGCACAAACAACGTATACATATGTAAGTAAATGTAAAAATGATAAAATAAAAGGAGAAAGAAAATATATGGGTTTTGCCTGAACAGAGCTGCACCAGGCTCTTTGGCCTCTTTTTCCATCAGTCCCTTTGCGGACTTTTCAAACACTCCCCCCCATTCTAACTCACTGGTGGGAATAGCTCCCCTTGAGTTCATAACCCCTTCTTCCTCCTATCTCAGCAGGTAACTGTGACTCCTCTTCCCTTTAACCTCTCCAAATGAGATGAGTAGACCGCCCCTCCATCCATCCTCCTCTGCCCTGTCTGCCTCAGTGAAGAAAGGGCCCAACTTTTCTTCTAGGTGATGTTTTCCTAGACTGTCAGCTCCATCCCTTCCACCTCTTCCAGACCTACCCTTTGTGCCATAAACTTTTCTCTTTCAATATAAAGAGCCCACATGAGTCTAGGACTTTGTCAATTTATGAAAGAATAATCTTCCACCCAGTCCTCATGCAAATGGCCAATGCTTGCCATTCTCTTCACCAATGTCTTACTAGGAAAATGTGTCTAATTCCAGAAGGCTGTCCTCCTCATAGCCATGCTCTTCACTTACTATTCACTGCCCAGTCTCTCAGTCAACCACAATCTGGTCCCTTAGTCTGCAACTCTTCATCGAATCATCTCACTAAGATTTCTAGTGCCCTCCTAATGGCTAAGTCCAGCCTTTGATGATTCCACACCTTACTGGTCTTCTCTGAAGACATATGATGTTGATTCTTCTTCCTCTTAAGACCTTCTCCTTATGTGGCTACACAACCATCCATTCTCATTCTGTTCCAATTCCTTGATGACTCTTTTCAGTCTGCTTTACTGTGCCTGGTCCTCTATTTGCCTCTTATCCCAACTCCGATGTCTTTTCTTCTCATGTAGACACTCACCTTGGGAAAGCTCATTGGGTTCCACACATTTGGATTATCACCTATAAACTGACTAATAACTTATATATGTGTGTATCTGGTACAAATCTTCCCATATATAATGGCAATTCTTTCAGTGTCTTCTACAATCTCGAAATCGCTGCTTCTCCTGTAGCCTTCTCCTATGCAAGAGCATTCAGTCAACCCATGAAGCACAAGTGTTCTCCTGGATGCTGAGAATACAAAGCTAACCCAGTTAGCAAAAATATGAGCTTCAGAATTATCTGCAACACTCTCCTTCCCTCCAAATAGATCACTACATCCTAAACACATTTTCATTGGCTCTGAGTCATCACTGCTGCTGCCTATATTACTGCAGTGTTTTATTTTTCAGCTGAGTTCCTTGCAAATTCCTTCCACCAAAATTCCTAGTCATTCAGCAAATCTGCTGTGGGTTAGGCTCTTTGGGAGCTACAGATTGGTAGAAAGAATAAAAAGTGATCTTTGCCCTTAAAAACTCTCCAACTGATATGTTCCTCCTACTCCCCACCTGGGAACCCAAACTTCCTAAGTTCGGATGTCTTCTCAAAGGGAATTGTCACTCTGTGCTCATACAGCTCTGGATGTGCACCTCTATTTCATCACTTGTCAGGTAATTTCATGATGATTTATTTGAACATTTCTCTCTTCCACTGGACTATAGGCTCCTCAAATGCAGACAGCCTGTCTGGTTCGCCCTCTATTTTTATCTCCTGGCACAGTGACTGGCACATGATGGACCAGTCCTCAAAGAGCTATTACTACCTACTGTCTCCCATTCTTCCCGTTCTCCATGCCTTTTCTCTGCTCAGCACTTCTCCAGACCACCTCCTGTCAAGGAGATCAATGGTCCTTACATTTTTAAAGCCAGGAGTTAAATTTCCAGTCTTCATCTCAGCTGCTCAATCAGCAGCATGTGACATGGCAAGTCACTTCCTCCTCCTGAGACACTTGCTCACAGGGCTCTTGGCTCTTTACTCTTTCTCTCGGTTCCTCATTTGTCTCATTGGCTGCTCCCACTCAGCCTCCTCCTCCCTTTTCTCCCTGTCCTCTTGGTGTCGGAGTGTCCCAGGGCCTCCCTCCCCCATCTTTTCATACTTCCTTATAATCCCATGGCTTTAAATATCACCCAAACTTTACATATTCAGCCTAGAAACCAGCCAAAGCTATTCCCTCCAATAAGAACTCACCACTGCATGCCCTGGGGACATTAGGACCAACAGTGTCACTTCTTACATAACAGTGCCTTTGTTTTTTTTTTTTTTTTTCTAGGCCAGATTTTGTCACTATTCATCTCAGATCATATAAGAGTTTAGAATCCCAAACATCCCTGGAACTCTAAGGACCCAATCCTGAACAGTACCTCTGAGTTCTGAATCCTTATCTCTAGATTTTCATTCTGAGTAGACATGAAAGAACCTCAGTGTGGGGAAACAGAAGAACAGTAGAAGCCTAAGGAAAAATGCGAGGGGGCCAGCGAAGGAAGAAGACCAGACCATGGGGCAGGAGTTGCTCAAAAACCATTCTCACCTGAAGGACAGCAAATGTCAAAAGCCAGGCTCCTCCTCTGCATCATGTGCCTGAAGGATTGGCTGTCCCCAATCCTTCAGGGACCTTGTGTTCCACAGTTCTTTCTACTCCTATGGCAGTGGGATCAGGGCTAATTCCCCCATTCAACCAGTCCCCACAAGTAGAGGCATTTCTACCCTGATAGTTATAAATTTAAATTAATTAATTAATTATAATTATATGTAATGATTATAATTACTAAATGTAATATAATAATTATAATAATTAACTATTTAATCAAGTTAATTTTATGCTGGGAATTGCCTTAGATGCTTTCATGTGTGTTATCTCACTTAGTCTTCACAAGAGTCCTATATAGTAGATATTGTTCCACTTTACAGATGATAAAACTGAGACTCAGAGCAGGAATTTATCTAAGGTAATATTTACTCTGTGGTCCTACATTCAGTATGTTAATTTCTTCAGTTTCAAGTACACGGAATGGCATTTCAGACATCATCCATCTGAAAGAGAGGGACCGAGGGGGGAGACGCTTGGAGCTTCTCCCACAGTTCTCTAACACCAGTCATGTCATCCTCCCCATCTTGTGCCATGTCCCCCTAGTTCTTCTCCAGTCCCCATACCCAAAGCTTTGGACAGAAGGCATCCAGTCCTGAGCAACTACTGAAGGGTAACATCTCATTACCATGGAGGCACAACTGCCCAGTCTGCTCCCAGTCCACCCTCCACCTTTAACCCTGGACCCCCCCCACCCCCCACCCCCGCCCAGAGAAGCGATAAAACGCACAATACTGGGCTGGTTTGGGGAAGTGAAAATGGAAAGATCAGTTGTGACCTTCCTCCCAATCTTGTTCCTCCTTTGTCATCACTCACTCAGGACAAGAGCCCCCCTCTCCATGTGCTCCAGCCAGACAGGGGTAGAGTC